GAGAGCTGGAGTGTCCATATTAATATAAGAATATAAACCAACATTATTACTTGAGCTAGAGGGATATTTCATAATGATTAAGGATTAATTCATCAGGAAAATATAATTACTGTAAACATATCTGTACCTAAGAAAGGAGCCCCATACTACATGAAGCAAAAATTAACAAAAATGAATAAAAAATGGAAAATTCAACAATAATAGTTGAAGACTTCAGTGATCCATTCTAAGTAATGGACAGCAAAATGAGACAGAATATCAAAAAGGATATAGAAAACATAAATAGAACTATAAGGTAGACGTAACTGATATTTTTAGAATAATCCAACCAATAACAACAGAATATAAATTCTTCTCAAATGTACATAAAACTTTCTCAAAATAAATGATATGGTAAAGCAACAAAACAAGTCTCTGGAAATTTAAAAGGATTTATATCATACAATTTATGTCCTTGAACCACACTGGAATTAAAATTAGAAATCAACAACAGAAGAAAATTTAATTCAAATTGAAATTGAATTTTTTAATTGAAAAATAATTTAAATTTTGGAAATCCTTAAAAAAGGAACAGACAGAGATGGGGGGAGGGAGAAAGAGAAGCAAAAAGAAGAGAAGGAGAAGTAGAAGAAGGAGATAAAAGGGAGGGAGGGAGAAGATCCAGATTAGAAAGAAACAGATAAAACTGTGTTCATTCACAGATTACCTAAATTTATATGTAGAAAACCCTAAGAATTTTACAGACACAGGCACAGATACACACAGACCCAGAGTCCTGGGTCTCTGCTCAGCGGAGTCTGCTTCTCCCTCCCCTGCTCTTGTGCTCTCGCTTGCTTGCTCTCTCTCTCTCCCTCTCAAATAAATAAATAAAATCTTAAAAAAAAAAAAAAAGATAACAGGAGGAATCCTTGTGGTGATGTAACTGTTCTTTATCTTGTCTATGGTAGTAGTCATATGAACCTATGCCTGTGGTAAAATTGCATAGAACTAAATTCACACACACACACACACACACACACACAAATGAATACATGTATGACTGTGGAACTCTGAGTAAGATGGACAGATTGTATCATGTCAATTTTGTGGTTGTGATAGTGTACTATAGTTACGCAAGATGTTATCATTGGGAAATACTGAGTAAAGTGTAAACAGGACCTGTCTGTATTAGCTCCTACAATTATATGTGAATCTCTAATTATCTTGAAAAAAAAGCTTAATAAATGGGGCAAAAGATTTGAATAGACATTTCATCAAAGAAGGTATATAAATGAAAAACAAGCACATGAAAAGATGTTCAACATTATTAGTCATTAGAGAAATATAAAATAAACCTACAATGTGATACACTTCATTCCCACAAGAATAGCTCTATCCAAAAAGAAAATAACAGATGTTGGAGAGAATGTGGAGAAAATGGAACTCTCATACATTGCTAGTGGGAATGCAAACTGATTGATCCACCTTGAAAAATAGTTTGGCAGTTATCTTAAAATCAACACTCTTACCATATGACCCAGTAATTCCACTCATAGGTATCCACCCTTGAGAAATTAAAACCTATGTTCACACAAGGACATGTATGTGAATTTTCATAGCAGTATTTTCATAATATCCAAAATCCCAAATATCATCAATTGGTGAATGGATAAACAAAATGTGATCTATCTTTACAATGGCATACTATTTATCAATTAAAAGGAATGAAGTACTTATACAAGACACAACATGGATAAACCTCAAAAATATTATCCTAAGCAAAAGAAACTAGATACAAAAGACCACATATTGTATGATCTAATTTATTTGAAATGTCCAGAAAAGAAATCTATAGAGACAGAAAGTAGATTAATTATTGCCTGGGGCTAAGGATCAGAATGGGGAATGATTGAAAATGAGATAGTGATTTCTTTTGAGTGTGACAGAAATGTTCTAAAGTTAGTTTGTAGTGATAGGTGCACAATTCTGTAAATTTACTAAAATCACTGAATTGTACACTTAGAGAGAGGGAGAGGAAAGGAAGGAAGGGAGGGAGGGAGGGAGGATTCTTTTAAAGGTTACATTTCTTTTCAGCTGTTCTAAGATTGAACAGATGGTTAAACCTGCGACCCCTTGCCTCAGGTCCCCATCCATTAGACAGGGTAATTACCCCCATGCCCTGCTTAGCTCATCAGACAGAAAGTTATATGGCCTGTTTTCTTCTCCACCCACTCCTAGCCTTAGTATTCTTGATGGTTGCTAAACTGTCATTTAAAAATCACGGCTCAGTCGTTAAGCGTCTGCCTTCGGCTCAGGTCATGATCCCAGGGTCCTGGAATCGAGCCCCGCATCAGGCTCCCTGCTCAGAGGGAAGCCTGCTTCTCCCTCTCCCACTCCCCCTGCTTGTGTTCCCTCTCTCGCTGTGTCTCTCTCTGTCAAATAAATAAATAAAATCTTTAAAAAAAATAAATATCATGTCACTCCTTGTGTTTACTGACAAAAGGTGTTTTTCTTGGCTTGCCCAATTCCAAATTCTCCTATGGATCAGCAAAAAGAAAATTACTTTTGGAATTATATATGCATTTTCAGCACAGTGTATATGCAAGAAAGCAGACCATACTTGTGAGTTTCTCCAAGCAATTAGCATTGCTTTGTTCTTTTTTTGACATCTGACTAAATGTCAGACCACTCTCCATTTTGGCAGTATAATTTGCCCCTCCCTCTCCTCCTCACCCATCCTCCACAGCCATCATTTCTCCACTTTTACCATAGTTCCAGTATCTCACTTGCACTTACCACAAAGTTCGCCCTTTATACTCCTTTCCCTTTATCTCCTTCAAATAACCCTTCTTAGCCTAATCCTGACTGGTGAAAAGGAGAAACTCCCATTTAAGTTGTAATCAGCAAAATACTTCCCTCTAGTCAGTGACTTAGTGGACTTTTATGGATAATATAACATGTTTGGAAAATTTTTATTATTGCCTATGACTTTTTTGCTTTTTGAAAGGGAAGAACTGGTGTGAAATATTGATTTAATCTTAAGTCTAAAGTATTTCACTCCCATGAATGACATATGACATGTTTTTATTAATATCCAAGAAAAGCAGCTATATTGTATCTGTCTTATCAGAAGGCTCTTGTAAAATATTTTTAGACTAGTAAAGTTCTCTATACTATAAAAACTAAATTTTGTTGCTTATTGCTACTGTTGCAACATATTTTTTATTAACATATAACGTATTATTTGTTTCACAGCTACAGATCTGTGATTCATCAGTCTTACACAATTCACAGCGCTCACCATAGCACTAATTTTAAAGTTTCTAAATAAATAAGGTATTGAGTACAAAACATTTTTTCACCTTAATAACACAAACTTATTGATAATAATAATGGTTTGAACAGTGCCACTTACAAAACTAGTTTCTTCTTCCCTCATGCATCCTAAATGCTTTGTTTATATTGCTATACTGCTAGCATAATACTCATATTAAATTACAGTACAGTTATGGGGTGCCTGGGTGGCTCAGTTGGTTAAGGGACTGAACTCTTGGTTTCGGCTCAGGTCATGATCTCATGGGTCATGGGATCCAGCCCCATGTCCGGCTTCATACTTAACTTGGAGTCTGCTTGAAGATTCTTTCCCTCTGCCCCTCCCCCAGCTCTCTCTCTCTCTAATAAATGAATAAATCTTTAGAAAAATAAAGCGCAGTTATATCTGTTTCCTCAGTCTCGCCATCAAATTGGGATGGAGCTGTAGTGTAGCATAAAGAGCAGTGAAGCTGATATTAAAATACCTGGATTACAGGATTAGTTTTATTAATTAGCAGCTACATGACTTTACTGTCTTAATGATCCCTGAATTATGACAAGGATTTTTGTGCTGCTGCTAAGTATTAGTTTGACACATGGATTGGAAACTCAAAATATGTGATCTCTACAACATTTTAGTTGGTGTGAAGAAGATAGGAAAAAATATTTGAAATGGAAATTTTGGAAAAAATCTTACCACAGACCTTAATAAATTACTTAAACTTCCTGAGATTCAGTTTTGCCAGCTATAAAATAGCTATGATAATGCTTACCTCACAGGATTGTTTAAGGGTTAACTGAGATACTGTACATGAAAGAGACTAGATCAGTGTCTGGAAGATGGATGATATTAATTAATCATTCCTTAGGTTGGAATACTCCCTCCACCCCCTCCATGCCCTTCTCCCCTGTAAAAAAACAAACAAACAAATAAACAAACAAACAAAACCTCCAAACTTCAAACATCTTTCAAGAAACAGCCCAAAGGAATCACTCTACAAAACCTTTCCAAACAACTTCAGTCAGTGTAGCCCTTTGGTTAAGAGTACCGGGCTTTTGAAATCAGAAGAGATTCCCAAGTTTAAAACCAGGTCTGCCATTTAGTAACTCCATGACCTTGGGCACGTTACTTATCTTCCGTGCATCTAGGTCTCCCATCTGTAAAGCGAGATCATTCTGGCACATACCCCATGCAGTTGTGAAGTATTAAATGGGATATACACAAAGAGTGCTTAGCACAGTCCCAGACACTGTCTTTTATTAAGTATTACAGTAGGAGAAGTAGTAATAGAAAGTTTCCTCTTCAGTAAAATGTTAATAAAAATGCCTCCCAGGGTGGCAAAATTCTGAGGCAAAAGTCTTTTAAACTGTAATGCTGAACAAACAAACGCAAGGGATTGGTATATACCTTTAGATATCTGGGACAAAGTTCTAACCTCATGTCATAGAATATGCATTCCCCGCACTGCGTGGGGGTGTGTGGTTAATAATACCCACGACTAATTAATAGGAAATAAAGCCAGAAGATATGTCCCCTGGCCCCAAGCAGCTCAAGCCCAAAGAGCAGTATTTAAACACAGAACCCGCAGACCGGGCCTCGATAATTCCCTGGAGTTCACCTCTAACGCCCCCCTTCCTTTAGTACCGCGCAAGCGTAGACTGATTTTGCTCCTCTCTCCCTCGTGCCCCCGCCTCCAACCCCCCTCCCCCGTCTGCCCCAACACGCAGGCGCATCTCTTCAAATCCTGTCCCTACCCCGGTCCTCTTTCTCTTCATTTCGTTCCCCCTCCTCTTCCAGCACCTCGGCAGGTTCAAACTCTTCTCCGTGAGGGTGGCGGCGATCGAGAGGTCACGTGATGAGCATCCTGCTGCCCAACATGGCGGAGTTCGACACCATCTCGGAACTGGAGGAGGAGGAAGAAGAAGCGGCAACGTCGTCGTCGTCGCCGTCGTCGTCGTCGGTATCGGGGCCCGACGACGACGAGGAAGATGAGGAGGACGAGGAAGAAGAGGAGGATGAGGAAGAAGAAGAAGAGGAGGAGGAAGAGACGCCACCCCCGCCTCGGGTAGTGAGTGAGGAGCATCTGCGGAGATATGCCCCCGATCCTGTATTGGTGCGGGGCGCCGGCCACATCACTGTGTAAGCAAGAGGGGGCCATGGGGTTTGAAAACGCTGAGATTTGTCTACAGAGGAATGAGAAGGTGGTCGAGGGGCCTGTGGGGTGGGGGAGGGCTGACTGAGGCATGCAGTTAGAAAAGGACACCTGGTCTAAACGGAGAAACCGAGGGAGATAGGTGTAAAGGAAGTGAGGAGAATACAAGTGTGATGCACCAACATCAGGTAAAGAGTGCGTATAGGACAGGGAGGTTAGAGGTTTGAGAGCAAGAGGGAGTGGAGTAGAGGTGAGTCTCCTTGCTCCTGTGTATGCTTTAAACTGCAGGATGTACCGGAGGATTCTTTGCTGCTAAGATTGGTGTGTAGTGGAACACGGTGACTGCTGTGACATGTGACAAGACCTAGGCTTGGATTCTTCAAAACAGAAACATGATATGTTTTGTGAATAATATTATAGAATATCCACCCACCCACATATTCATTCATCCATTCTTCTTATCTAATGCTTATATGAATGAATATAATAATCCTTTCCATGTCTTGATAACTCATTCTGACATTCATTAAATATCACACAATTAGAAGTTCAGATTAAGAGGCAGTTGTGAAAAGTAAGGGAGCAATAGATTGAGAGTGAGGGCTCTTGGAAGTTGGTCCCAGCTTTGCTTCTTACTGGCCCTGTGACCTTGCTCAGGTTACTTCCTATTTCTGGGCCTTAATTTCTCCATCTGTAAAAATGAGGGGTGTGGGGTAGATGGTTTCCAAAGCCTTTCAGCTCTGAGATAAGTTCACATACCTGTAGGAGATTTTGTATGCCCAAACATTAAATATGCAGACATGAAATGCTTATGGAAATTATTCCCCCAGGAGCTGAGGTTGATTTTTTTTGAAAACCTACACAGAGTGACTTTTTTAAAAAATTGAAATCTTGGATCATATTTGAGAAAATAAAAGGAGAAGAGACCTCATAGCATAGTAGTTGCAAAGCAAAAGAAAATTTTAATGGCTCTCTGGGCTTTGAAGAGTGCCTTTTCTTTTTTATGTGCTTGGGCTGTAAATGCTTGGAAGTTTGAGTGTGTGTTGTGTTCATCCTCTTAACTATGCTGCTGTCTTTTCCTGCATTTTCATATCACTGCCTCTAATTTTGATAATAGCTCACCTAGTCCCTTTGACTTTCAATTGAGTTCAAATTATCAGAAATCATGTATTAGAATACGCAACACCTCCCCACATCATGTTAGCTTTTAATTTTAACATGTTAAATATTTTGATTGTAATATACTTCTGTGATCTTTGCATAAAATATATTAAGGAAGATTTTGAAATTGTGGAAGAGTTTGGGAAGATTTTTAGACCTGCTTTTTGGTTAGGCAATTATTTTAATACAATTTTTCTTGGTCCAAGAATTTTGCGGATAGCCTACAATGATCAGATGCCAGCTTACTGCGCTGTTTTACTTTTATTCCTTTCATCACTAGGGCGACAATTTATTACTCAAACTAATTATGATTCTGGCACCAAAGGTTACTTTCATGCAGATTATTTCACACAACTGAACAGAAAAAGGTTTTTTATTCCAGTCTATAACTTTATATTCCCAACATTCCTCCCCCTTCTTATTTTCTAACATTCAGAAAACAGAGGAGGAGCAAGGAAACATAATTTAAGTTACCAGAAACTTATTTGTGGTTCTATTCTACTCTTCACACAATCATGGTGAAGTACTTATCAACCTATTTTCAATTAAAAGCAAAGCACTGACACTTGCCATATCCAGGGCCTTGTGATAGGTATAATGTCCCTCCCAGCTTAAAAATTCTGGAATTAGGAGTGTGAAGTAGTGGTGCTGGAAGTAACTGTTGGTATTAATTGAAGCCAAAACCCGAAAAGCAGCAAACCAGTACTTGAACCACTAACCAATGTATATTGTTTGGAAAAATTATTTAGTTGTATTGTACACATTCTCTCAACTGAAAAGCACATTTGATCTTAAATGTCGGAGATCTGAAAAATAAATGTTTAGGAGAAAGTTTTACTGAATCTGAGAAACTGGCCTTTCTATGGTAGTAAAACTTTCCCCTCTATCAGGTAAAGGATGATCCTTATGAAACAGTTAATCCAATTCTGAAACATCTAAAATAATCAGCTCCTGTTAAATTTTTTTCGGGCATGTGAGCGTTAGAGTTGTCCTATCTGAATGAAATATTTCTTATTCTCTCCTAGCTCTTATTTGTGCCATTCTCTGTGCAGTTGTCTATTCTATAGAGGACTTTGTTTCTTTTCAAAGTTTAAAATTTGAGAACCATTGCTTCGAACTCAGTATTTCTTAAGCCATCATTTTCCCTCCCCACATTGGCTGTGCATTCCAGTTGCCTCATTTCTGATCGTGATCCCACCACTCTAATCTTCTGGGGTAGTATTTCAAATCCTTGAATCATTTTAACTCTTCCTTTTCCTTGACCTGTCTAGTGCCACTCTGTCCCAGAATTATGTCCTCATATATTTGAAATGTCTATTGGATTTTTCATTTTCTCCATTTCTACTGGCACCACTCTAGTTTAGGTTGCCATCAACTCCTGCTTGGATTATTGCAACAGTCTGCCACCTCTCTCCACTCCAATACATTCTGCATGCTTGTGCCAAACTAATTTTCTTAAAACACAGTTTAATCCTGTAGCTTTCCTGCTGAAAAACCTGCACTAGAACTTAATTAGATCTGAATTCTTATGCTCTCTTCTTCCAGCCTCAGAGGTCAAGGAGTTCCTTCACTTGTCCAAAGCTTACCACTTCACTTGTGCCTTCTGTACCCTTCTCTTCCAGCCTCCTCCCAAATCTTGCTCCATCAGGCAGCCGCATCTCTCTAATATTACCTCTCTCTGCATCAGCCTATAAACATATTCAGAGTTTCTCTCTTTCTTTAAAAACAAAATAAAACAAAGCTTTCCTAGGCCTATGTTCCCCTTTAGCTACTGTCTTGTCTTTCTTCCTTCCCTCTCCAGATTTCTTAAGAGTAGCTACATTCACCATATCTATTTCCTTTTCACCCCTCTGTAACCTGGATTCTGCCATCATGACCGCAGCCTAAGGGGTGGGGAAGAACTAGCCTTGTTAAGATCACCATGACCCTCTTGTTGCTACATTAGTGGGCATTTTTCATTCCCTGTCTTTCTGGTCCTCTCTGCTGTATATGACACTTATAATGACTCCCTCTTTTTTGGAGGCTTCTATTCTAGGGGTCACAAACACACAAGCCTTCAGAGGTAATAGAGGTCACAGAACATGGTGCACCATGAGTAATGATGGGGTCTTAGTTGAACTGGAAGGTGGTATATGTTTTGCCTAAAGGCATTCAAATTCTGATTTTGTAAAATCATTTTGCCAGTCAAACAAACCTAGGAATTCCTTGGTCACTTCACTCTTCTGGGTCTCCTTGTATTTTTCTGGCGATTCTTCAACTCTCTTATTCGTGGGCTTCTCTTACTCTCTTGACCCTTGAATACCAGTGGTCTCTGAGGTTTTGTTCTCAACCTGCTACTCTTCTCATTCCCTATTCTGCCTAGATGATCTCATCTAGATTCTCATGGTTTCAATTATCTGACATCTCCCAAATATTTATCTCTGTACCACATTTTGCTCAGACTTTCACCTGGGCTTCCTCACCTGACAGCCCACCGTCATCCTAAGTTCAGCATATTCAAAACAGAATTTATCCCCCCCCTCACCCCCTTACACCTCCATCCCAACCCCTCAAAAAAATCCCTCCTCTTTCTGTGTTTTCTATCTCAGTTAAATATATCTCCGCCTATCTCATTGTTGATCCTTGGTTCCTCTTTCTCACTTATACTTATCAGCAAGTATTAATAATATATGACCTAAAAATTTCTTCTTTTCCTCCCTACCAGCACTTCCCTGATTCAGGCCCGTTTCACCACCCTAACCAATCATCTTGCCTTCATCCTTGTCACCTTCACATCCATTCCCCAGCTTGCTGCTAGATTGAGATGCCACTTTACTGCCTAAGACTATTCTGTCATTTTCCCTTAACCCACAGGATAGAATCTAAGCTCCATAACATGGTATATAGAACTGGACCCTGCCTGTCTATCAGCCTAATCTACTGACATTTCCCCTTATGGCTTATATTTTCCTGTTCATAGCATGCTGTTTCTTATCTCTTTGCCTCTGCTCAAGCTGGGACCTCCATCTAGAATTCCAGTATCCACTGCCCTTACCCCAGCTCTCCATATGTCACCACCTCCTGCAAGTCTCCTCTACCCCCACTAAATTGTAAGCTGCAATTGCAGGAACAATTTTTAGTTCCCTCTGAATCATCGTGGCCTAGCACACTGCTTGCCATGAAGTAGACAATCAATAAAAGTGAGTTGAAGGAATATTGGTTCACTTTAGTAACACTCAATATTCCTACCATAATGTATGCTATATTTTAGGCCCTCAACAAATACTATTTACTTGAATCATGCTGTGGAGAGTACTTCTGATGAGCAAAGATCTATATGGGTACAGTAGTATCACCAGTCCCAGTGATGGGGATTATGGCATGGCCTTACCTCTGAAATTTTTGTTAAGGCATCGGAATACCCCTGTGTATTTGTATCATCTTAACATATTGGCTTTCTAGTTACTTTTTAAAAGATACTAATCTTTTAACATGGAATTAATTATAATTTGTTAAGAAGTAGAATGAGATAACCTCACTAATTGTAATTCTAATTCTAAGATGATGAAGATGAATGGATATTTGGGGATTTTTTTCCAAATTAAAAAAAATATATGGCAAAATTAACTCCACAGATTTGAGTTTATAGAAACAGACATAATGAAATGCCTCTTGGAAATATTAAGTGTTTTAGAAATACTATACATGTGAGTGATATAACTTAGTATCTACCACTTTTCTTCTTGATATTTCTAGGATAAGTATTTGGATCCAATGTATTGATATACAAGGATAATTGTATCTCGTGAGATCTTTTATTTATAGGCATTATCACACTCTTTATAGT